TTATGTAGGTAAAATAGTAATAGTTTCTATTGGTTTGTCTCTTCGTATTTTTGAAGATTATAGTATCATATTGAGTTTTTTTAAAAGGGTTTTTCTAGCTGATTATTTAGGTAAAATAGTAATAGTTTCTATTGGTTTGTCTCTTCGTATTTTTGAAGATTATAGTATCATATTGAGTTTTTTTAAAAGAGTTTTTCTAGCTGATTATGTAGGTAAAATAGTAATAGTTTCTATTGGTTTGTCTCTTCGTATTTTTGAAGATTATAGTATCATATTGAGTTTTTTTAAAAGGGTTTTTCTAGCTGATTATGTAGGTAAAATAGTAATAGTTTCTATTGGTTTGTCTCTTCGTATTTTTAAAGATTATAGTATCATATTGAGTTTTTTTAAAAGGGTTTTTCTAGCTGATTATGTAGGTAAAATAGTAATAGTTTCTATTGGTTTGTCTCTTCGTATTTTTGAAGATTATAGTATCATATTGAGTTTTTTTTAAAGGGTTTTTCTAGCTGATTATGTAGGTAAAATAGTAATAGTTTCTATTGGTTTGTCTCTTCGTATTTTTAAAGATTATAGTATCATATTGAGTTTGTTTAAAAGGGTTTTTCTAGCTGATTATGTAGGTAAAATAGTAATAGTTTTTATTGGTTTGTCTCTTCGTATTTTTAAAGATTATAGTATCATATTGAGTTTGTTTAAAAGGGTTTTTCTAGCTGATTATGTAGGTAAAATAGTAATAATTTCTATTGGTTTGTCTCTTCGTATTTTTGAAGATTATAGCATCATATTGAGTTTTTTTTTAAAGGGGTTTTCTAGCTGATTATGCAGGTAAAATAGTAATAGTTTCTATTGGTTTGTCTCTTCGTATTTTTAAAGATTATAGTATCATATTGAGTTTGTTTAAAAGGGTTTTTCTAGCTGATTATGTAGGTAAAATAGTAATAATTTCTATTGGTTTGTCTCTTCGTATTTTTGAAGATTATAGCATCATATTGAGTTTTTTTTTAAAGGGGTTTTCTAGCTGATTATGCAGGTAAAATAGTAATAGTTTCTATTGGTTTGTCTCTTCGTATTTTTAAAGATTATAGTATCATATTGAGTTTGTTTAAAAGGGTTTTTCTAGCTGATTATGTAGGTAAAATAGTAATAGTTTCTATTGGTTTGTCTCTTCGTATTTTTGAAGATTATAGTATCATATTGAGTTTTTTTAAAAGGGTTTTTCTAGCTGATTATGTAGGTAAAATAGTAATAGTTTCTATTGGTTTGTCTCTTCGTATTTTTGAAGATTATAGTATCATATTGAGTTTTTTTTTAAAGGGTTTTTCTAGCTGATAATGTAGGTAAAATAGTAATAGTTTCTATTGGTTTGTCTCTTCGTATTTTTGAAGATTATAGTATCATATTGAGTTTTTTTAAAAGGGTTTTTCTAGCTGATTATGTAGGTAAAATAGTAATAGTTTCTATTGGTTTGTCTCTTCGTATTTTTGAAGATTATAGTATCATATTGAGTTTTTTTAAAGGGTTTGTAAATGTAGGTAAAATAGTAATAGTTTAATCGATTTTCTAGTTGTATAACAGGTAGTTTTCGGTTCCGTTTTTCGAATCGTTAAAGCGACTTAGTAACGCGAAAACCGTATTTATTGTTATTTTATTGCAGAAAAGTATTTATGCTATTATGGTATGTCGTAATGGTCGTAAGAACCATAACCTTCAAGATATCGGTGGTTCAGTCACGTTCACTTGTATAATACATTTCTGGGGTCCTTTATGTATAGGAATAATGCATTCGCCTGTAGATGTATATACGAGGATCGATGGAAATGAAAAAAAAAAAAGCCCGTCGTTCATTAACTAATAATTCGTGATGCGAGATTGTTAGGTGTACCTCATTTAAATGTTACGAAAGTTCAACGACCGAAAATCGATAACCATAATATTTAATCGTACATTAAAATACCGATAATCGTTAACTTGCACATTTGCCGGTGTTATTATTTTTCTATTAGAATTAGGTGATTAATAATCGTTGATTCGGAACGCGTGCATGTGAATGTAATTGTTTCATAATTTTCCGAAAAGGACGGGAAAATTCGCAAATCTTCTAATTAGTAATTAAGATTCGTCTTCGCGGCCTTGTACTTAACAAAACAAACGGCCGTGAACTTACAATTAATAGAAATGTTTACAACTGAATTCCGATTGCTGTTATGTAATTGGTATAGAAAAGCGTAGTAGCGACCTGTTTTCGAAAAACAAAATTATTCTAATTGAGTTTTTTCATCGGTGACGTCCTCCGCAAAATGCGATGTATTTACTTTTAAACGTTTTAATACGTAGGAAAGGACTCCGGCAATTTCGCTTTCAATGTCTTGATGACGAACAATTCCGCATAAACAAAATCATTAGGAGCGATCGGGCGCTCGTCGTGACGCCAATATTCGCGGAATTATTCCAGGCGTTCGGCCCAAACTCGATGAATATTTATTATGCATTCATCAACTGTTTTACTACTATTTTTTTACTATAGTAGTAGATTGGATTAATTCCAATAATGGAATACAAACAACACCACCAATTTATCAATCAGCTTCAAAACAATGTGTTAATTAATGCTTGAATTATTGGAATTTTCTTCATAGAATCATTGGGGAAGGAGGGAAATTCATTGACTTGTATCAATAATAATTGACCATCTTAGTTATAAAATCTTTCGAACAACAGTCTGTTTTATATAGATAAAATTTATTATGCATTCATCAGCGGTAACTATATTAAATCCTTTTACTACTATTTTTTTTACTATATTAGTAGATTGGATTAATTCCAATAATGGAATACAAACAACACCACCAATTTATGAATCAGCTTCAAAACAATGCTTGAATTATTGGAATTTTCTTCATAGAATCATTGGAGAATTTATATTCGTTTACTTGAATAAATAATAATTGGCCATCTTAGTTACAACATTTTTCGAAAAAAAGTCTGTTTTATATAGATAAAACTTATTATGCATTCATCAGCGGTAACTATATTAAATCTTTTTACCACTATTTTTTTTACTATATTAGTAGATTGGATTAATTCCAATAATGGAATACAAACAACACCATCAATTTATGAATCAGCTTCAAAACAATGTGTTAATTAATGCTTGAATTATTGGAACTTTTTTCATAGAATCATTGGGGAATTTTAAATTCATTTACTTGTATCAATAATAATTGACCATCTTAGTTACAAAATCTTTCTAAAAACAGTCTGTTGTTATTTTACTGATTTCCTCTCTTATCCTTTCCTGCAGATCTTCTATGTTGTTTGGTTTTTGAATGTAAACCTTACTTTTGAAATACGAAAAAATAAAATTTGATCAGTACGCTGCGATTCCACTTTTCACCAGCTTTCCAATGAGAGGTCACAAGCCCTAGGATTGCATTTGAAAAAAACATGTTAAGGGTAGTTTAAGCTACCCCTGAAGGCCTACATTCCTATTATTGCTTGCAAAATGTAGCTAAATATATAAAAACTTTGACGTATCTCGGGAATTTGTAAAAAAAATTATTCACTTTCCTGCTAGCGAATTTATTCCAGTTAAGGTCTCCACCCAGTAGATAAAATTTACTATGCATTCATCAGCGGTAACTATTAAATCTTTTTACTACTATTTTTTTACTGTAGTAGTAGATTGGATTAATTCCAATAATGGAATACAAACAACACCACCAATTTATGAAAAACAATGTGTTAATTAATGCTTGAATTATTGGAATTTTCTTCATAGAATCATTGGAGAATTTTAAATTCATTTACTTGTATAAATAATAATTGGCCATCTTAGTTACAAAATTTTTCGAAAAAAAGTCTGTTTTATATAGATAAAATTTATTATGTATTCATCAGCTGTAACTATTAAATCTTTTTACTACTATTTTTTTACTATAGTAGTAGATTGGATTAATTCCAATAATGGAAGACAAACAACACCACCAATTTATGAATCAGCTTCAAAACAATGTGTTAATTATTGCTTGAATTATTGGAATTTTCTTCATAGAATCATTGGGGAATTTTAAATTCATTTACTTGTATAAATAATAATTGGCCATCTTAGTTACAACATTTTTCGAAAAAAAGTCTGTTTTATATAGATAAAATTTATTATGCATTCATCAGCGGTAACTATTTTACTACAATTTTTTTACTATAGTAGTAGATTGGATTAATTACAATAATGGAATACAAACAACACCATCAATTTATGAATCAGCTTCAAAACAATGTGTTAATTAATGCTTGAATTATTGGAACTTTTTTCATAGAATCATTGGGGAATTTTAAATTCATTTACTTGTATCAATAATAATTGACCATCTTAGTTATAAAATTTTTCGAAAAACCGTCTGTTTTATATAGATAAAATTTATTATGCATTCATCAGCGGTAACTATTTTACTACTATTTTTTTTACTATAGCAGTAGATTGGATTAATTCCAATAATGGAATACAAACAACACCACCAATTTATGAATCAGCTTCAAAACAATGTGTTAATTAATGCTTGAATTATTGGAATTTTCTTCATATCATAATTTCTTCTTCATAATCATTGGGGAATTTTAAATTCATTTACTTGTATAAATAATAATTGGCCATTTTAGTTACAAAACCTTTAGAAACAAATCTGTTTTATATAAATAAATGACTCTCCTTGGTACGTAAATAACTCTTTAGGTATATGAGACGAATCTAGTTAATTCTACAAATACACGAATCTTATATTATTAATTCGTCTCAATTACTATCAATATCACATTCGATATTATTAATTACCCTTGACATAAAAACGAAACGACAAATATAAATTCACGAGTACCGAATTTTCGGTAAATAGATTTCGCCTTGACACTAACGTCTATTTCTACATCGACTAATAGAAAATACCACTAATTTAACTTCCATATTCCGTATACCGCTCTGCTAGTTTATAGTTGGTATGTGTTATTTGATGCTGACTCGCAAGGTCTTTACAATTTATATACTCATTATAATGGTTTTCCTGTTTTCTAATCTTCGCGATAATAATGCTTCAATGAGAAATCTTACGTAAACAATTAATAGATAAAAAAAAAACGGTCTATTTAAATGGACAATAAAGGAGTAAATTCTAACGCAACAACTATCGAAATGATAGTAGGTAAGTAACCCAAATTCAAACTCGAGCAATTACTGTAAATGTTTTTTTTTTGTTTTTTAGTTGGAGTAAAAGGAGATCAAAAACGGACAAACCGATTCGTGTATGAACTTGATCTTGAAGCCATTTGATCGTACTTTTTTTCGCTGGGAAAGAAAAAAAAAACATCGCAAACGGAACGTTCCGCCGGACCCGATGCAGATGTACATCCCTCCCTGATCTTCTCCGATCAACTGAAGAAATTAATGAATGAATTGCATCTGCTAGTAGAATGGTAGAGGGAGTACCGACTTGGTCTTGCCATTGGTCAAGACTGTTGCTCCTCCTCGTTGATCCCTCCCCGAAACGCTGTCTTTAAGTAAGTTGAAGTCTGATCTATAAAAGCATTGCTTATAATGCCGATACCGTAGACAACCGTGCTGTTTCTTCATTTCTTCGTTTAGTGTGATACATCGCAAATCTATATACATACATACATACAAAAAATAAACTATTTTAGCGAATTAAAAAATTGTAAAAAGTAAAATGTTCGTGTACAGTACGTTGGCCGTTTGGAATTACGCTGTGAAGGAGTTGTCGACGAAAGTTCTGCTGGTGTTCATCACAGCGCTATTCGCCGCCCGGGGGCTGCAGAAGCTGAGGGAGGCCCTGAAATTGCCACCAGGACCGTGGGGGCTGCCCATACTGGGATCGCTGCCCTTTCTCAAAGGCGATCTGCACCTGCACTACAGGGACCTGACGCAGAAGTACGGCTCGTTGATATCCACCAGATTGGGTTCGCAATTGATCGTTGTTTTAAGTGATTACAAGATGATCAGGGATACGTTTCGTAAGGAGGATTTCACCGGTAGACCTTATACAGAATTTACCAATATTTTGGGTGGTTATGGTGAGTTTTCTTTTTTTATTATTATTATTATTATTATATACAATCGTTTTAAGTTGTTTACTAACAAGGATTTGATATTGACCTTGAGCTTTTACGTTAAGTAATTATTAGACTAAATATACCTACTTCTATTAATAGTGCTAGTAAATTATTTCACGCTTATTTTGACTCAATTTAAAATTCACTACAACAAATATTTTTATATATACGAATTAAACAAAAAATGCATTAAAGTTCAATTACATTAACTCCTCCGCATTCGCCGATATCAACGTTAATTAACGTGCGGTTTTCGTAAACATCAGAATTTTTTTCGAAAAAAACAGTTTTCCTGTAACGGAGCGGAGCGCGCGATAAATGAAATTTATTAAAAGGATTATCGGTCGCATTCTTTCTTCTTCTTTAATGATCTCAAACTAGGTTAAGACTGATAGGATATCAAAAGCGAGATAATGACACGATCACTTTTACTAAAGATGTGTGACCTGCGAAGGCCATTGCAAAAGTGTGTCAATCATAATGCGAGATTTATTTTTAGAATCTTTCGATCTCGCGCCGATTTTGTTGAAGAAAATAAAGGATGAATCCGGGAGCGAAAATGACTCCACCGTAAATGAACTTTTATCGGTATTGGTGGATTTTTTTTATATACAAAAATATTTTTTGCGTTATCTTTATATTAAAAAATGATTTAAACAATTTAGAATATATTCTTAGTTTATTCGGAATGTTTCGAATTTTTATATTTGTAGAGAGTAATTAGTTTATTTTTGTTCTGTCCACTCGAATTTATAGGAAATTTGTATTAAAATGTTTCTCAAATTACTGAAAATTATAGGAATTGTTCTATTTAATTTAATCAGAATCAAAGTATGCTTAATACCGAGTAATTATTTTAATTGTATGAGAATTATTTTTAAATTACCTGAATTTACTGGTTACTAATTTCTGATTTTAAACTAATTTTTTAATTAATAATACACAATTTAAAAAAGGAAAATTGATTAGTAGATTCTATTTACGTTATTTTTAGACATTATTCACAATATTTTCGGTCATTTTTAATTAAATATTTTTGTAAATTTAATATTTTTCGCTTAAAAAGTTTATCTAAGTAATAGAAGAAATTTAATAATGAATCCACCTCATTAAGTTTATTTCAAGCTAATTTTAGTAGCTAAATTAGAATTAATTTTTATATTACAAGCGTAATAAACATAGAAAGATTTTATTTACGTTATTTTAGACATTGTTCACAATATTTTCGGCTATTTTTAATTAAATATATTTGGAAATTTAATATTTTTCACTTAAGGCCTCAAATTCATAATTCGTGCGGTACCATAAAACTATTTTTGGTTAAATTTTTCCACAATAGATGGTATGAGATTAGTTTATCTCATTAGTAGATGTTTCGTGTTTGATTACACTTTATATAAAATGAAACGTACAAGAAAATTAAATAAGAAAACCTTTTCAGAATTTTTTAAATTCAATTATTTTCCCTGCAATTTAAAAAGATAAAAGTAGGGTTTTAAAAATATTCATTAAAGTGCTCTAAAAGTATCCCGGTGCACTAGAAATACCTTATTTCATATTACTTGTCCTTAAAAAATTGCAAATTATCCAAAAATATCTGAAAACCGGAAACTTTTGGCACCACTGTCATTTGTCAAATTTAAAAAATTGTTCTGTGATTTGACATTTATGTCAGACGACACCATAATTTACAGAAATCTATTATCATCATTTGCTAAAATACTTTAATTAGTTTTTTTCACTTTAATACAGTCTGTGAATCAATATAAACTAGGAGATATTGTTCTGTAATAAATATTTTTCTTCTTACTAAATTTATTTACACATCCGTTCGAGGAAACTCGAGTCTTACTAGAATTACATTTTGCCATTTAAATATAGCATTGCAAATAAATGACAGTTTTTGATTGCAATTTTCTTAAATATATAATGAACTAGGAAACATTAAAAATAGTAGATTTCGTTGCTTGTAGTCTCTATATTAGGTATAAGAAAGATTCAAATCAATCGATGAAGCCAAATTAGAATCTAACTGGAATTACTGAACCTATGTTTTCCCATTTAAAAATACCCCGAAGTGGCGCCCTTAAAAAGTTTATCTAAAAAAATATAAAAAAAATTAATAATCAATCCACCTCATTAAGTTTATTTCAAGCTAATTTTACATTGTAGTAGCTAAATTAGAATTAACTTTTATATTACAGGCGTAATAAACATAGCAGGAAAATTATGGAAGGACCAAAGGCGATTCCTGCACGACGGGCTCCGCCACTTCGGCATGTCCTATCTAAGCTCGCGCAAAACCCAAATGGAAAACCGCATCATGTCCGAGGTCGAGGACTTCCTCTACGTGCTCAAAGCCCGCCAGAACGAACCAGTAGACCTAAATCCGGTGTTCGCGGTGTCCATATCGAACGTCATCTGCGACGTGCTGATGTCGGTGAGATTCTCACACGACGACAGACGCTTCACCAGGTTCATGAATCTCATCGACGAAGGTTTCCGGTTGTTCGGCTCCCTCGAAGCGGCCATTTTCATCCCGATACTGCGCTACTTGCCCAGGTACACGTTCACCAGGCAGAAAATCGCCAAGGTAAATTCCGGAAACTCTATACATTGGATTGGATTGGAGTTCAATGTTTCTCTGTTTCGCAGAATCGCGAAGAGATGGCCAGATTTTTGCAGGAGACCATCGACGATCACAGGAAAACGTTCGATCCCAGCCACATGAGGGACCTCCTCGATACATATCTCTACGAAATTCAGAAAGCCGACGAGGAAGGTACCGGGCATCATTTGTTCGAAGGGAAAGATCACGGTAAGATGACGAATCTTTTATCACTCCGAACTTATCATTACTAAACTCCTCGATTTTTTTTATCCGAACAGATCGCCAGATGCAGCAGATAATGGGCGATTTGTTTTCCGCCGGTATGGAAACCATCAAAAGCTCATTGCAATGGGCGGTGCTCTTCATGCTGCACCATCCGGATAAAATGCTGGCAGTGCAGGAGGAACTCGACCAAGTGATCGGGCGCCAGAGGTTACCGAAATTAGAGGATTTGACCTATCTACCAGTTACCGAATCTACCATATACGAAGTGCTCAGGATATCCAGCATTGTGCCGATGGGGACCACTCACGCACCTATAAGGTAAACTTTTATTTCGTTTGTCATTCTGATATAATTCGTTGAAGAGATTCCACTTACTGGTTCTTGCACCAATGGGTTTTAAATGTAGTTTAATGCTAAACTCGAGTTATATTCGATTTATATGTTTCACCATTTATATAAACTAGAGTTAATTTTTAAATCTTCGCTTAAGTTTAACCGGTAAATTTTGATGGTTTTATGATCAGTTTAAACGAAAATAGACTTTACTGTTGTATGCAACCAGTTAATTAGACGGAAAATTAGCAATAAAATATCTTTTTGTAGTATGGTCGGGGGTAGATTTTCTCATAAGGTTGTTTCTGTATGGAATTTGACCATCATAAAACTACTTTTGTGTGCCTATAAAGGCTATTTGAAATAATTTTCGAAATTTTAGCTCATTTTCTTGATAAATTTGAAAAATGTTTTGAACAAAACTTGCTAATTTTGATGCCATGATTCCGAATTTTCAATAAAAAATAGGGGTTTCTATTTAAATTTTTAAAGTTACCCGCCACTCATCCCTTGAGGGGTGAAGTAGCGGTTTTATTCAGAATCTCCAACATTTCCAAATCATCATCTAAAATATCTTCATAATTTATCTTAATTTCTTCAATTTCCATCACAAGTAAATAATATCTGATGATTCATAATATACAATAAACACAAAATAAACAATAAACCTCGATAACCTTAAAAATGTCTTTTTCACAGAACGCTGAGAATACAGAACTTAGAACCTAAATTTTGTATTCTGTGGTCATTTTCCTCAAATGACAACTAAGTGTAACCAACATAAAAATATTCCAAATAAAAACCCCAAAAACTTATAAATTAACTAAACTCTTCACTTTTATAAATGATGCAACGTTAATGAACTTAAGCGAAGTTTAAAATTAACTGCTAGTTTAATTAACTTTCGTTTAGTTCGAGTTTTGGTGCAAGACCCCGTTATTTCGAAGCGCCGTATTTTTCTCAGTGTACCCAACGATCCATTATCGCGGCCGTTTATTAAATAACGAATCGCTAATTTGTCGAATAAATTAATTAAAAACACCTTATTAGAATATTCATAAGATGGCGCTAGCGTTTTCGTTCGCAGCTCATCGGCTTGTGCAGCAGTTTAGATAAATATCTAAAGGTTGATATGAAGCGGAACCTTGAAGACTTTTGGTCACAATGCATGGGCGTACGCGTAGTTTTTTTTTTTTCATCGATGCTATTGTCTATTAATTATTTAATTATTAAAAAAAATCGTGTGTTGAAATTGCGTGAAATTGCTGTTTAACTGGTTTTTAATTTATTGGTTTGCATGGATGTAAATGTTTGGGATTTTTTTTAATGTTGGTAATTAATTTCGAAAATTGTGTTGGTAACGTTAATTAGTCGCTCAGTGGCGCCTCTATGATATGATTTTTTTAATCTTAATGGAAATTAATTTAGAACTCTGGGTTTTCTATCAAACAATTTCTCTTAAAGTTCACTGAATTGATTCTAATTTTTCAACTCAAATTTAAGTACTAGGTAATAGTTCAGATAGATATTGATAGTTCAGTTACCTACTTGGTTCTTAAAAAATATTTATGCATTTCATTAGTAATTAATTTGTAAAGATTTACGCAGATAATTGATTAATTTGGGTACATAAATATTTGATAATTTGAGTCATGAGCGATTCTCTTGGGTAGATAAGTAATAAACTCTTTTAAATCGTTAATTTTAACAGTTTTGTATGTAGATTAGATAATCAGATAAACTGCCAATAATAAAATATACCAACCCTTAAAAAATTTCAATCATTTATTAGTGAGATTTCTTCATAAAGGTAAGGTAGACTGTGGCAAATCGGTTGTAAAATTTGAATAGTTCAAATTAAATCCTAAAATGTGGCTTTATTTTTTCTCTTATTAGAAATGCTGATACCACATTAAATTCACAACTTCCTAAACTAAAGAATCGAGGTATTAAAAAGTTTTTTTGAAAAAGGAAGAAAACGATTTTACATCTTTTTTAAAATGTTATATTTACCCCATGTTACGAGGTAATACAATTATTGGTTCCTCTAAAATTTGATATGCTGTTTATATTTATTTCAAAAAATAACAGAGCTACAAAATAATAAGAAAAAATAAGAAACAAACTCTGTCTAATGCACAAAAGAACTATAAAACTAATAAAAAACATTAACATAATAGGTAAAAATCTTACATTTACCCAATTTTTACATTTGCCCCAGTCTACCTTATATTAAATTTTTTTTAACCCATTCTTCGATGTGAATTGAATTGTCAATACGCCAATGGTCCAGTCGGGCGCCGAATTTGGAACTCTCTGCGTTAAAATTAGCCTCTGCAAAAAAGTGAAAGTCACCGGGGCCTAAAAAATAATTTATATTTTTTCGGTCGTTGAACTTTGGTCATTCACAGACGATTTCTTAAATAATTTCGTAACTACACGCAAAATGCCGCCGAAAGACAATAAACTCCGAAGGTTTATGTAATATAAGTTCAATATACGCACCGCGATCGGCGCTTATGTAAGTTAAGTAAAATAATCTATAACGATTTATAAACTTTTTTTTTTTTGGAAAATAAAAAAAAATTTCGAATCGATTCAACACGGTCGATAAATTTTTTCGATTTAGGTGCTTATCGATGAAGTAAAAAAAAAAACACGTGGCGCTAAAAAGAAAACGAATGCGTAACTACTCCTATAATCGCTTTATTTTTCGCGTAAACTCGTTTGGTAATTCAATACACTCCCAACGATAAATTAGCGATTTATTTTCACGAAATCTCCAAAGCGAAACGCGGTAATTTTGAACGCAGGACAAATTGGATAAACATTTTATTAGCTTGATTAGATAATAATTGTCGAGATCGACCTGTCTCATGATAAGTCAAACTGGGCAATTTCCAATATTTTCACCTGTCCTTTAATCGCTTTTCTCGTTTCGACAATTCGACCATCTCATTGATGTACACCATAGAAAATGTTTCTAAAAGAACATTGGGTGGTAAAGCTGATTTTTTAGTACCTAGATTCGGAGTAGATTCGGAATAGAATAGAGTAGGATAGGATTGAAAATGCTACTTGAAAGAATAATTGGCTGTAAATAAAAATTCTCAATGATGAACTGTCTCATGATGGGTCAACTGGGCAATTTCCAATATTTTTACCCGTCCTTTAATCGCTTTTCTCGTTTGAACAATTCGATAATCTCTTTAATTTACACCCACTTTTTGCATACCTACCCCTAGTAGAGAGTAAATAAACTGCTCCACAAAAGTTAAGGAAGTTTGCAAATTTTGCGATTATTTTAAAAGTTAGACTTTTTGATCACCAAATTTTCAAATATGCAAAATTAAATGTTTTCTCTCATATAACTGACTGAATTTTTTGTCCATATACCTCTACAACTCATACTAAATTTGGCGATCAAAAAACCTGCAACTTTTAAATTAATCTCAATATTTGTAAACTTCCTTAACTTTTGTGGAGCAGTATATTTCCCAATTATAATTGAGTTTAATATAAAATTACTTTTCATTGGGACACCCTGCATTAATGTGATTATTTAGTAGGTACAAGATATCTAACGAATCAAAATTTTCTCGAATTCCAACTTCAATTCAAATTTGAACACAGCTAAAATAAATATTTAAAATGATTCTGATTATTTAATCTATACAAGTATTCTTAAGAAGGTAGGTAAACCCTTTGCCCAGTTGACCCTACCTAAAAAAAAGAGGGGACAGGAAAGAGTCTTTACCCACTTGACCTACCGCATTTTAAAATAATTGACCAATTTGCCCAGTATGACCTACCTACGATGGTAATTTTACAACCCACTAGCAGGCAGTGTTGTTAAGTAATGAATTACAAGTAATTGAAAAAGTAATTGAATTACTTTTATTGTAATTGAAGCGGTAATTAATTACAAGCTCCTCAATTGTAATTCATTTGTAATTCAATTACTCCTTTCGTTACAATTACAATTACATTTTACAATTACATTTCGATTACATTGGACACAAAAGTACTTATTTAATATTTTCAATACGTGGAAAGTTTAATTCCGATTGCAAATCCCTAAATAATTATTTAAAACTGACACCAAAGCAAAGTAATTGTGAGTGTAATTGTAATTGTAACTTTAATTGTAATTGTAATTACATTCGCAAATGTTGTAATTGTAATTGCAATTAATTACAAATTGCCAAAAGTAATTGTAATTGTAATTAATTACATATTATAAAGTAATTTTAACATCACTGCTCTTTGGTAACTAGATATTGGTATTCGAAAGTGCAACAATCTTATCCTTTTTCCTCTCAAAATGCAAAAAATAGATAAAAAAAAAACTAAAATCTCTTCTTTTTCAACATCTTTGCGAGTCTTTTTGAAGTATTGGGACAACCAGGTTTTGAAATAAAGTATATCGTTATTAATTAGCCGTTAGTTATTTATGGAAAGGTGCATGTAAGAACCTGAAGAAGAAAACGTATTAATACGAAATCCAGTTGAAATTCAAATATTAGCAACAATGAGATACTTAGCAAAAGGGTAGTAAAAAACACAGTAAAAACGCAAGAAAGACTCAGTGAACGCTCAATTTCACACACTAAACATTTGTTGAATTTTTTAAATTATGTTTAAAAGTAACTTAAACACCTCTTGTAACGCCACTAAGAAGAAGGTAATTTGCAACCCACATAAAACAACCCCTTTTTTTTCGGTTGCAGGGACACCAAACTGAACGGTTTCCACCTTCCGCAACACGCCCAAATCGTTCCGCTCCTTCACGCCGTCCACATGGACCAATCCCTCTGGGAGCAACCGGAGCAATTCAACCCATCGCGTTTCATCAACGCCGAAGGAAAGGTCCACAAGCCGGAGTACTTCCTGCCGTTCGGCGTCGGCCGCAGGATGTGCCTCGGCGAGATCCTCGCCCGCATGGAGCTCTTCCTCTTCTTCTCCTCGTTGTTGCACTCGTTCGACATATCGGTGCCCGAAGGTGAAACGTTGCCCAGCCTGAAGGGCATCGCCGGCGTCACCATCAGCCCCAAGGCGTTCAGGGTGAAGCTGACGGCGCGACCGATGGCTTGGGAAGGCGAGGAATCCAACATCAGACAGGCTGGCAGCCATTAGAAGATGAGGAAGATGTGGAAGATGAGAAGAAAAGAAAAAAGTACAAAACACGATGGAGTGTTTGGGTTTTACCAAGCGCCCGATTGGAGATACTTGTTGGTGTGTATTCTTCTGATTATTAAGAGCACGGTTAAAATTGTTTCCTAATTCAATCCTGCCCGGAGGATGGTTTCCGAATCGTAATCATTTCGTGTACCAGGGTTAGCGTTTTGTTGTTGTTGTTGTTGTAAAGGGCACAGTACTTATCCTGGGTTCTAATTACTAATTCAGATAGAAGAAAGAACGACAGATCTCCGATTCAGATCGGCTGTGCAAAAAAGTGTTCAATTATCACATAGTATTAGAGTCGATATTAAAATGATACTACTATCGAATCATTCTACTCCATTACATCACCAACGTGTTTAATTTTCGGCGAGTAGTTTGACTTTGCAGTGTCATTATAACGTCGACTTGTTAAGAAAAAAATAACTAGTCAAACGGCATCTAATTGCAATTTATATATATATTTTTTTTAATTGTATCGAGCAGTGCGTGAAACAGTATTGGATAAACTTGCGCTGTTCGATGGCATTTAAGAAGCTCCTGCATATTTGTCATCTCATTTCCAATTCCGCTCGGTGCATAGTTACGTTGTTTTTTTTTACCATTCAGACCATTTTATTTTATTTTACGACTATTTAAGAGAGTGTGTTGGTCCATTGGATAGAAGAGATACTTGACAGTATCTCAGTTTGTTTGTTTTTTTTTTAATACCTTGCGAATCAGTCAAACCAATGAGAACGTTACCTAATGGATGAGACTTTCAGATTTAATTTTAATTAGGCTGTATTTTGTATAGACGAATCAGGTAACAAAATTCACTGAAATTTTCGAGATTTCGTCCCATTCGAAACTGTTACCTAATCCAATTTGACAAACAGTTTAATGGAGATTATACCTACCAGTGAATTTGGTGTGTGTGTCGAAATTCAAATCGACGATTGTTTCAGCTTAGATGATTAAGTGAATTTTGTAAATAGAATTTTGTTCGTATAGAGTATTTAAGGCTTACGTGAAGACTTATCATAAGGTTATTTTGTTATTTAATAATTTTAATAAATTAATTTAAATAAACCAGATTTTACAGTTGAACGGTGTTTTATTAGTTTTATTCGTTCCACTACAGTTCTTTTAGAAGGAATTTGTGGTGTTTAGGAGTGAGCGTGATGCCGCATTCGCCCCATAAATCGACGTTTTTATCAGCGATAGTGAAAGAGAAATTTTGCAGCAAAGTAACAGCGAAGAGGAAAACGAACATCGTCGCCAATTCGTGCCCCACACACATCCTTTTACCTAAAAAAAAACCACGACGAAACGAAACTTTCCCCCGAAATTCGACCAAAACTCGACCACTCACCGACTTGAAACGGCACGAAATGCTCCGGTTTTTCGATCTTGCCGTCTTCGTTTATGAACCTTCTGGGATCGAATTGGTCGGGTCGCTTCCACACGGTTTCGTCCATATGCATGGCCCATTGCAAAGGCACGATCATGGAGCCTTTCGGTATTTTATAACCGAGAACTTCGATGTCTTCTAGAGCACCATGGGGTATCCCAACGGGTACAACAGGTCTGATTCTCATGCACTCCAATATCGATGCTTCTGTTAGAGGAAGAGCGTCCAGATCGTCCATCGTAGGCGATCTACCTTCTAAAACTGCTTCTAATTCTTCTCGGATTTCGGATTGGATTGATGGATATTTCGATAGGTATAGAAAGTACCATCTAAAATTTGGAATAGATGCTTATATTCTACTAGGTATTTACTTATGCATGATTTCACCAACCAGTTACTAAAGTTAGGTAATACCTAAACCGGATTTAGGAATTCCTAAGTACAATTTGCGTTTCACCATGCACTAAGTAATACCTAAAGGTAATAGGAAATGCCTAAAGTTAGGACAACTCACTGGGCTTGCCTAAAACATTTAGGAAATACTTAACCATACTTTCCATGTGATTTCATGTGACTTAAGTGTTGACTGTCTTTAGACTCTTTAGATGAACATTTAAAATGGGAGGAGAGTTTTTAGAAACTGGACGAAACTGATTTTTTTTCGCCTTTTTCGATATATAAAAATACGGCATTACAAATATCAGAATGAATTGGAGATGATTTTTAATTTGATACACAGGAAGTTTTGTAACTATTGACCGTACACATGTAAATATCCATAGTCCTGGAGAAGAAGATGTAGAAATATTTTACAAATCGGAAAGGTTATTTTTCTAATAATGTACAGACTTCATCTTCAGCAGATTTAAAAATAACTAACATAATTTAAAGATGGCCCGGATCGTCAACATCTCTTCTTTTCTCTCAACATATTCAATTTCGATCTCCGCTTATTCGGTTTACACATCAAAATTAGCCAATGCTACCAATAAAATTCAAAAAATTGTCAAAATCAAATTTTTACCTATGTATTTCTTAGTAAGGGATTTCTAATGTTGGTGAAATTCGATTTAGGTAAGTATTCGATTTAAGTAAATCCTACCTTAGGAATTACTTAGTTAGGAAATGCCTAACAACATGTTGGTGAAATCGAGCATTAGTGTATTACCTAAGGGTTGTTAATGTTGTATCCAAACTAGCTCCAAATAAATCACCCAGTAGAAAATGGAGTTGAGTGTCGTTGTATAATTTTTCGGCAACAAGAGGAGGTTTTTTCCGTTTTTCCGTAAGGAATGCTTGGATTATGTTAGAGTCATCAACTTGTTGTATGGATTGTTCCTTTATTATTTTACTGTATTCCTTATGCGTATTAGTTATACCAGTTAGTATGAAATCGATTATTTTTTTGTATTTGGGTAGAAATCTACGAAAAGAAACTCGCAATTGTTCAAAATTTAAGGAGATACTGAAGCATACCTAAAAAACGGTAGAAAATTCAAAGGACCGGCTACTCCTAAATACTTCGGTCCTTCTTCCTGTAAATGCTGCAACCACAACCAAGTCTCATCGTCCCTTTCCCAGGACTTACCAAACACCAATTGGTTCACCGCTGATCCCAAACTGTGACGAAGCCCCGGCAGAATATCCACCGCAGTTTTCCCATCAATTTTTTTCAAATACTGCAACATCACGCAATAAAATAACACCTAATAAAAGATCCGATACAAGTACATTAGTCAAATCGAAGCAATGCTCCAAAATAAGAGCCTCCATTTTTTTCCTCTGCGGTCCTATCTTGGTAGCGCCGAATTGTCGAAGACAATTATGCGTGAACTTCCTGTGCTCCTTCCACAAATCGCCTTCCGCGCAAATCAAGCCTGCGAAAGAAGAAAAAAAAAATAATAACATAACAGCGATTAGCCAGCAAACCGATCAAATAGAGCGGTTAAAACGGTCGCCGTGGAATTCGACTCCTTCGACTTGGAAGGATAAAAATAGCTTCTTGGAGATCGTTAGCGCGAGGCGAGAGTGAAGCGAGTAACAAAGAAGAAGAAGAAGAAGAAGAAGAAACGATTTCTGGTCGAAGCATCAGCAGTACCGGCGCGGAGAATTACTGAATTAGTCATCATCAGGACGGTGCCGGACGTGAGAAGAATTCCCAGGTCTGCAACTGCGTTTTGCATCGTCCTTGACGAACGATGAACTTTTTTGTAGTGCAGGCGGTACCATTTGAAATGGTGTTGCTATTTATAGGGTGTTAATTAATTGTATGCCGATATACTTTAGGATGTGAATATTTGGATGATTTTAAGAAGAAAAGTTTATATAAATGTATGTCCTAAAGGTCTTAGTTTTCGGGTTACAGGTTGTTAAAATTTTTGAAAAAAAAATTACTTTTTCATCATAATTTTCTTATTACGGCAGATATTTTTATGAAATTTCGGACGTGGAAGTCACTGATAATAGTAGAAAATTAATTTTTATCTCTAAAAAAAAGTGTTTCCATGTCTGTTGGGCGCCTATCAGATTTCAACAAAATTACAAAAGCAGTCTCAAAATGAACTTGAGAAAAAATGGTTTTGGTTTTTATTTTTTTACGCGAAAATGGTGCGTCGTACGAATATGAGTCTTCTGACCGAATTTTCTCCAAAATAAATGAGGATTTTAAAATTAATTTTAGTTTTTAGAAAAAGCAGTGGTGTACCATTTTTTTTTCAAACATATTCAGTTCGAACCCCGTACGGATGTCACTGGTGAAAATTTAAAAAAAATCTTATGCCGCAAAAAATGCCGAAATTTCTATACAGAGTAAATCAATAGAAGTATACAGGGTGTTAATTAATTGAATGCCGATACTTCAGGATTTGAATATTTGGATGATTTTAAGAAGAAAAGTTTATATCAATGTATGTCCTAAACCTCTTAGTTATCGAGCTACAGGGTGTTAAAATTTTAGAAAAAAAATTACTTTTTTATCATAATTTTCTTATTACTCCAGTTATTTTTAAGAAATTTTGTATACAATTTTTAATTATTAAGGATCATTTTTTGAGACGTAAGATTTTTTAAATTTTCACCAGTGACGTTCGTACGGGGTTTAAACTGAATATGTTTGAAAAAAAAAATGATACACCACTGCTTTTTCTAAAAACTAAAATTATTTTTAAATTTCTCATTTATTTTGTAGCAAATTCGGTCAGAAGACTAATTTTCGTACGACGCACCATTTTCGCGTAAAAAAATAAAAACCAAAACCATTTTTTCCTCAAGTTCATTTTAAGACGGCTTTTGATATTTTGTTGAAATTTGATAGGCGCCCACCATGCATGGAAACACTTTTTTTTTTGGGATAAAAATTAATTTTCTACTATTATCAGTGACGTCCACGTCCGAAATTTCACAAAAATATCTGGAGTAATAAGAAAATTACGATAAAAAAGTAATTTTTTTTCAAAAATTTTAACACCCTGTAGCTCGAAAACTAAGAGGTTTAGGACATACATTGATATAAACTTTTCTTCTTAAAATCATCCAAATATTCACATCATGATGTATCGGCATACAATTAATTAACACCCTGTATGTATCTATTTAAATAGGTGGGTTTGCGGTTTCGTTAATTCGAATTTAAAAACCTGGCTATTAGAGAAGCATTCGTTGTAAGCATAGATATGCAGGGTGTATCAAAATTATAGGCCATAAATTAAACCACATATTCTGGGGCCAAAAATAGCTCCTTTGAACCTAACTTATCTAACTTACCTTAAGATAAATGTGCACCAAAAAAAAGTTACAGCCCTTGGAAGTTACAAATTAAAAATCGATTTTTTCCAATTTCTCGAGAACATTTTAGTATTTTTTTATGAAAATGGACAGGTGGTTCTCCTATTGCAAGAGCAACTTTCTACAAAAAAATTACGAAATCTGTGCACCCCATAAAATTTTTATGGGGGTTGTGATCCTTTTAACCCCTTTAATCCCTCCAAATTTTTCTGTTCTATTAAGCTATTAAGGCGAGCTATTAAGAAAATATAGTTTCAAAATGTGACAAATTATACACTGTGCTCCATTTTCGACTACAACATGGTCATTTCTATGAGTGGAACAAAGAAAGATTATTATAATGACAGTTGTCAGAGTGAAAAGTTGCAATGACACAAATGTCACTTTCTCCTTTTCCTTTATAAGTGTATAATAGAAGTTGTCTTTATCGCACCCATGGCCTATATAACCTATGTTACGATTAAAAATGGAGCAATCTGTATATTTTAAAATTTCTGTAATTGAGAAACTCTTAGAAATTTGACAACGGTGTTTTTTTGACTCGTAGTAAAATTTGTAGACGATTTCGACTAAAGAGAGATCAGAAAACAGTATCTATCTCATTTTCCCACCGAATAATAGCAAATAGAGGGAAACCGGGAAGCAGTTTTCACTGTTTTTTCATACAATATCAACAAAATTTTCACACGTAATATTAAATAATGTTATATTTTTACCATAACAATTCTTAACATAATTAAATTGTTATTTAAAATATATTTTCCTACGCCCAAGGCGCCTGATTGGATCCGCCATGTTACCTCTATTTTTCTATCTTACTTTTTCTGTCTCGTTTACTTAATAAGTGACAGATAATTTTCAATGTTGGCGTCAAAAATTATTGAATTTTATGAATGACTTGTTGGGGATGTGAAAATTTTCCATTAAGATCGTACTGGATACCTATAAAACTTACTTCGATTTTACTTCAAGGATCGTTAGTTTTATCCGATTTTTATAAAAATTTGGGTAGTTACTTAAAAAAATAATAATTGCTTTACGCAGACTCCTTAAAATTTGTGTAAACCTTCTATTTTCAATATAATTTTTAATTTTTTTGAGATTTTAGAAAAAAAAGAAGTCAGCGCAATTCTATAGATTATTTAAATAATTTTGTCGGTGTTATATTTTTAAAATTGCAAAAATTTTTGAATATATGAATGACTGGTTGGGAATGTGGTTATAAGTTCACGCATTTTATAAGGTGTGAGTTTTATTGTTTATGGCTCCGTGAAAATTCAATAGACACGCCCAAACTCTTAATATAGGTTGTGTAGACATATCTATGTGGTGAGAGAAGTAAAAATTATATCTGCTACATTTAGATAATCGTATCTGATGGGAAAATTTTCCAAATTTAAAATTTACATTACACATAATTGGTATATATCGTAATATTTTCAGATGATTTAGGTACCTATTTATATTTTACAAATTGACCAATTAAATTTACTCCAATGCAATTTATTCCTTTCAATGTGTAGAAGCACGAAAGACGAATTTTACTTAAAAAAATTTAACCAAAAATACAGCAGACAATTGATTAATTGATTCTGATCAATATTTAATAGTAATAGAATTTCACTCATTACTTACTGTTAATAGGTACGTTAGTTTTAATTTAATTTCAAAAAGCAGTCAAATGGATTATACGAAAGGAATAAACTCAAACTACAAGACATTCAAGTAAAGAAAATAAAAACGAATTTAGGTACTATTTCAAGTACAAAAAAAAAGAACCATTCGAAAGAAGAAAGCATTTCACATAATAGGTATTATAATATTTATATTATACAAATTGACAAATTAAATTTACTCCAATGCAATTTATTCCTTTCAATGTGTAGAAGCACTCACGAATATTATACAAAGACGAATTTTACTTAAAAAAATTTAACCAAAAAATAGAGCAGACAATTGATTAATTGATTCACATCAATATTTAATAGTAATAGAATCTCACTCATTACTTAATGTTAATAGGTACGTTAGTTTTAATTTAATTTCAAAAAGCAGTCAAATAGATTATACAATTTATAAATTGGCAACGAAAGGAATAAACTCAAACTACAAGACATTCACTACACTACAAGACACTACAAGCAGTAAAGAAAATAAAAACGAATTTAGGTACTATTTCAAGTACAAAAAAGACCATTCGAAAGAAGAAAGCATTTCACCTTGCCACTATCACACCGTATAACGGTCCGTTAACAAACAAAAAAAAAAGCCAGTACATCATCGGTCATCTAGGGTATTTGAACTGTTTGAAAAAAGAAGAAATTAAGGTTGATGTCTTCCAACAAGGCCCTTGTACTCTCGGGCGTTCTCTCGTCGTAGAATGACGCCCGAGCAGTGGTGTTGTTGTGTGGAGAACACAATTAAAAAAGGCGAAATATTATTATTTACTAACATTATTTCGATTTAATGTAGAGTATATCGAGTAGATGTAAGTAGGTACTGGAAATCAATCCAAAATATCAAATGCGTTAAATAAGCGATATACAATTTTTGATGCTAAAAAATTAAGTTTTTAATAAAACTACTAATGTAGGTGTTTTTTCGAAACTTCGACGCCCTCAAATTCATAATTCGTGTGGGGTAATATTGAACTATTTTTGGTTAAATTTCTCCACAATAAATGGGATGAGATTAGTTTAACTTACTAGTAGATGTTCCGTGTTTGATTACACTTGATATAAAATGAAACGTACAAGAAAGTTAAATAAGAAATCCTTTTCAGAATTTTTTAAATTCAATTCTTTTCCCTGCAATTTGAAAAGATAAAAGTTGGGTTTTAAAAATAGCCATTAAAGTGCTCTAAAAGTATTATCCATAAATATCTAAAAAACGGGAACTTTTGGCACCGCTGTCGCTAGTCAAATTTACAAAATTGTTCTGTGATTTGACATTTATGTCAGGCTTCACCATAATTTACAGGAATCTATCTTCATCATTTGCTATAATACTTAACTTTAATTAGTTTTTTTCAATTTAATCCAGTCTGTGGATAAATATAAACGAGGAGACATCGTTCTGTAAAAGTATTTTTTAT